GGCAGTACCCAAGGTTTAGGGTCCCCAACCCTGAGCCGGTCAAAAGCACCTCGCAGGACGACCCCCAAAGCGCGGTTTTCTTCCATGGAGGTGGCCAGGATCACGGAGGTGCTGTCCCAGGCTTACCTGGCCTAAACCCTAAACCCTATACCCTAAACGTATTTAGCGCAGCATGATTTTGCAATGTTCAGATTTCCTGGGCCGCTTTTTTTTGACCTACTTTGAGGGTCCAGGCAGGGTTCGGGCTTATTGAAAATAGCAGTTTTGAAGGGGAACCACTACGACCTCATTCTCGTTTCTAGCTCAGAAATTCAGGGTTGAGGGGCCCTTCCCAAACCCTACACCCTAATCCCTTACCTCCTAAACTCCAACCCTATGACCCCAAACCATTTATTTGCATGGTATTGGATTCAACGTGAGGAAGACAAGAATTTCATGCAGCTTCCTGGTCCCTGCTATGGCCCCAATATGGAAGGCCTCAGACCTCAAAGGCTTCTTCAGGGCAAAGGGCTTTGAGCTTAGTGGGCTAAGGCATCTCTGTAATGTAGATAGAATACAGGGCATATGCGGATCTCATTATAATATACCCAAAGCCATATTCTATCTACTTAAGGGGGACTATCGTCCCTAAACCTTGGAACACAAGCTGCGGGAGACCTCAGCAGAATTCCAGAATAGAGAGCTGTAAGAGCCGAGAGTCCCAAGTTACCTCAGCCCTTTACCACCCGCGGGTAAACAGTCCCCCTTAAGTAGATAGAATATGGGATATATGAGGATCTCGTTTAAATATACCCAAAGCTATATTCTGTCTACTTAAGGGGGACCATAGTTGGGTGTTTAAGTGGGAGAATTGTACGCACCGCGGACTGCTCACCCTGCTTCGCACTACCCATGAACCTCCGAAACTCTAAACTGTTCTTGACCTATGTCCCCTGTACTAAGCCTACATAATCTCATCGAATTAGCCATGAACCTTCCCCTAAACCCTAAACCCTAAAACCCCTAAACCCTAAACCCTAAACCGTGTTGCTGTCTGCCAGGGCAGGCCGTGGCGCAGTTTCCGCAGAGACCTCTGCGACGTGGGATGGCCCAGGTTCTTTAAACCATCCGAAATCAGAGTTTAGGGTTTAGGGTTTAGGGCTTTAGTATGTATACTTATGAACCCCCACAAGCCATAGAATACCACCCAGTAATCCCTATTATCAACCTACTTACTGAGTCTCCCTGACCCTCAAAAGTCGGCTTAAGGGTTCAGGGCTACTGCCAGGAAGCAAAAGACCAAGGAGTCATGGGGCAAACCCTAAACCCTTATTGTGCCCCTTAAGTAGATAGAATATGGGGTATATGGGGATCTTTTTATAATATGCCCAAAGCCATATTCTATCTACTCAAGGGGGACTATAACCCCAATCAGTAAATAACACCTAAAACTCTGAACCCGAGGTTCCATTGCCTTTTCCATTTGACTTGCCATTTGATTTTCCATTCCTACACCCTAAGCCCTACATCCTGAGCCCTAAAACGGTACTTTCCAACCAGGAGACTTTAAAGCCCAAAGCAGACACCATTGAGGTGCTGTGTCTGTCCAAGTTTGTAATTTTGCTTGAAGCTTATCTAGACGACTTGTTTAGGGTTTAGGGTTTAGGGTGTGCTCAAGGGTTTGGAAGGCTTTGGGGTCCCTTAACCCTAAAAGTCTGGGGCTTAGGGTCCAGGATTTGTGGTACTGGGGGAATAAGTGACTATGTTACACAGGGATCATGCGTGGTAATATAGAGGTTATACAGGAATTATACAGAGTATAGAGGGATCAATATAGGGATTGTATTCCCCTGTTTCCCACGATCCACCAGTAATTTTGCGGAATAGGAATTCCTACGAGGGAAGTCGTGGGCTGACCAGGACTAGGCGGCCCCTCTCTACGGACGAGGTTTGAGCTCTTGATCTGGCATTCTTTTCTGCAGTCCGGAAAAAAGCAGCCTCAACCCTAAGCCCTAAACCCCCAACCCTAAACCCTGAACCCTAAACCCTTAGAAGGCCCCAGGTCAGATTACTGTAGAGTTCTTTCTGGGTGTTAACGTCGACACTCCCAGTTTACCTTCGCAGCCATGCCTTCATGTGGGCCTTATCACAGCGCATGTCTTCTAGCACTCAGATTCCAGCCTGGATGCATTCCTTTGAGATCTGCGACAAATGCCGCCAAGGCGGCCCATTATTTGGAGACATCCCACCCTATATAACCCCCATCATCTGTACAAAATCCTTCCATAATCCCTTCTAATCCCCATAGAACCCTTATATAATCCTTATAGCAATCCCTACGTCATCCTTATAGAATTTTGAATCCCTACATAGCATATTCCCCCATACCTTCTGCTGAGGAAAGCAGTCCAACTACTGCGACGGAGATGAGGAGGCCCGGGATGCTTGTGAACAGAAAGCGATAATGTAGACCCTTTAGGGTTTGGGGTTTAGGGTTTAGGTTTTAGGGTTGGGGTAATATAGGGGTAATATAATAATGTACGGGTTATATAGGGATAATGGAAAAGAAAATGGAAACTACTATATTGGGTTATTTCGGGTTTACCCCAATTATCAGCACCTAAGTCCCCTAATATGGTTGGGTTATAGGTACCAGTAAAACTTGGGTAAAAGTTATCCTGAACCTCCATGCAGGGTTTCCTCCATCAACAGTCGCACTGGCTCTGCTGCAGTTGGTGCCTTTCGGGGAGAGTGCGGATCCCGAGGAGGAGGACCAGTGAACTCAGAGTTTGGGGTTGGGTTTAAGGGGTTTAGGGTTT